CAGCAATAAGATGGAAATAACCGGCAGAAACTTTAACCATCCACTGGCTCGCTAGTCGCTACCCCAGGTCGGTCAGTAGCCGGGTAGCCCATCAATGGAACCCGTTAGGCTCGCCCCTACCTCTCGCCACAAAAGAGACAAGAATTTTGCCTTGTTCCACACGCCTTTGATTGTTTGAGGCGGGAAAACTATTTGTGTGCTACGGCCCGCGCAACACAGGATATTGTTTTCGTATTAGTTGGCCTTTTTCCAAGATGACCGTGACCGTTAACTTATTTTATGGACTCCCTTGGAGAATAATTCAAAACTACAAAGAACATTTCTAATCCCACAGTATACTAGCTATTTAAATTATAAACACTTTGGTGTTTGAAAAATAGTTTTGGACGATAAATTTTGCAGCTTTTTGAAATCATCCAAGATGGCCGCTTGCCTCCAAGGACTCAACAATAGGCCTAATTGTGCGACTATAAAGCAATAACTTCCCACCTTACGCTTGCGAATTAGTACGGTACATATTTGTATCCACAGTTGCCAGGACGACTATTAAGACGACCAAACATTACATTGACATTTAGGTATTTAATCTGTAGAATAGTAATTGTTAAGTAATCTGGAAGACAACTAATTAAAATGAAGTGCGAAAGATGGGTTATGAGAGTGCTCAATGCCTGAAGCATAATCCATTTGTTTGAGGTGCGGATTTTCAAGCTTGTAGAACAAATAAATATCACGAAGTAGAAGGGCAGGGGTGAAAGTGACTGAAGTGACGGGATACCCGGGTGGATTTTCAGTGACTGGATTCCAGTGGTATGCGGTAAAATATATAGTGACTGGCTTAGCAGCACAAATTTTACGTGACTGGCTTTCCCATGCAAATGCGGTGGTGACTGCATTAGCATAGCATTTTTTACGTAATTATATTTTAGTATTTTTAATAAAAAAAGAGATATATACGTTCAGATATGTCTAGGCTTAAGATATTTACCAACATATATTATATATATATCATAGTCTTGAAATATATTGGGGGGTGCAACTGACTGACTTCCAGTGTATATTTTATGTGACTGGCTTCCCGGGCGCGGCCGTGTATATATATATATATATTTATATATATATATATATATGTGTGTCCGTTAGCGCGATAACTCGAGCAAAAATGATCCGATTTTGATGAAATTTGGTACAAACGTGTAAACCTACGTTTATTCGAACGAGTTCGCGAACCAGCATGATCGGACCATGGGAACGGGGGTTTATGGGGGCTTTTATGGGGTAAAAATGGGTTTTTCCCATTTTTGACCCAAAAAACATAGAATTTTGCAAATTATTTCTAAACTATTTTGTAGAGCTTAAAAAAACAAATAATTTAGTATATTGAAGCATTATAATGCGCCTAATGGTTACGGAGAAAATTCCAAAAAATTGTAAATTTAAAATTCCCATGTTATTCTTATGGAGAATAAGTAAACTGTTGTAGTTTGCTTGTTTATTAACATATTTTGCCCAAATTTGGAAAATGTTTTTATTTCTTACTAACTATTGACATTTTACATAAAAAACACTTTTACCCCCCTGTTGCAGCAAACCTAAGTATGTGTTAAACTGATTCTATTTAAATAGGGAATAAATGCGATATTTTTAAGGCAGGGTGTCCACAGAAATTTTGTCATCAATTTCCCTGACTTTCCATGACTATCAATGACCATTAACCATTGATTTCCATGACTCACGAACTTAACTCAAAAATTATAATATACCGTACACACACGAATAATACTGCCTAGACAAGTTATTTCACAGAAAATACTGAAATATGTATTACCAGATAACAATGGAGTACAATAGGTACAACAATGAACTAATACAAACTCAAAACCCATAAACTAAGACAACTGTATAAATTGAAATTGTCGTACATTTGTGAAAAATTCGGAAAAATAATACAATAGTCGCGGTTACGGCCGACTAGAGCATTAAAAGGTCCCCTGAAATCCATCCATCATTGGGGATTTCCATGACTTTCCATGACTTTTTGCCTATTTCCATGACTTTCAATGACCATAATTTTTTTCCATGACTTTCCATGACTATCCCTGACTTTCCAGAATGTGGACACCCTGTAAGGAGACAATTTAGTGTAAATCCAATCAGGCAATTGGAAATTCGCTTAGTCTGCAGGTTTGCTGCGGCGGGGGTATTTGAAATCTTTATTAGTTTGGGCAGGATCTTCCATCAAAGTTGGGTTTTCTCCCATAAGATTAACATGGGGAAATCTAAATATTTAATTGGAAACTTTGTCTCCACTAATTTGAGAGAACGGCTGGGCGTAGAAACTTGGTAGAGGTGTCCAAAGAAATGACTTGGTCTGTAGATGAGTTATCAAAAGAAAAACGAAGTAAATTCCCTTAGGGCTCTGCCCCAGAAGCCTTTAAAGATCCCTCCTCAGATTTGTTTACATTTTGGCCATGTGGATAATACTAACTTTTTAATGAAACAGCTGTTAATTTTTGAATTGCATTTTAAACCACGCACATTTATTGGGAGTTACTGAATTGTCCAAAAGAAGTATTTAGCAATGTTATTTTCTGATTTTAAAATTGATTTTCTTCTGTATCATGTCATGTTTTGCAAACGTTCCATTACGAAATCAGTGGAAAATCCTTTTATAACAGTAACTCCTACAATTATTTCTTATTGAACTATCTTATATCTATTGTACGGGTTGGTGTCTGCCTTTTCACACTTTTGGTTATATTTTATCATATTATTTCAGACAGATCATCATAGGTTCATGAGATTATTGTCATACATGTATTCAATCATTGGAAAAATCTTCGATTGTGTAATACAATACAAAATAATACAAGTGCAGAAGTGTCTTATTACCTTTAACAGTAATCCCACAACCAATTTCTCAAAACTATGCTAGAGGGTTACTCATTGGCACGGAAGTATGATATGAACTGACGCGATGTGACGAATGAAAAATCAAACTTACACTGTGACGGATGGACCTCCCTTTGAAGTTAGAACGTGTCTTCTCACCAAACAGATATTTTTTCTCAAATAAAATCATAGATTAATCTTTATTACACTGATGAAATCACGGAAGTTTTTAACTACAAAAGATCCACCAATACGATTTTAATACTACTTAAAGGTTCTTCCAAAAGAAGAGATACCAGTTAACATACTAATAATAACTCCGATGACGTAAGGTATGGGAAATATTTTATTAATTGAATGATCAACCATATTTGGTAACTAACGCAATTAATATCATTATAGTTTTTCCACTTATTACTCTTTAAACTATGCTAAAAGCTCAAAATATGTATAATTTCATCGCAGTTAGATGAATTCGCATAAGCCTTGAAAGTAACCGTCGATTTCGACGGGTTTCACCTAGTTTGTACAATTCTCTCAAAACAGCCAAGTCTATGAAAAGTTACATCTTGTAATCATATGGATCCATGCAGGATGATTACTGCCTGAATTGCAAAATCAGGCCAAGATTGAGAAAATGTCGATTGGTTTAGGTTCAAGGTCGGGATCAACCAGAACTGTGGTTGGTTCACCTGATGACATTAGCAAGCAAACACAGGAAAAATACTGATGAAATAGCAGTCACTTGTGTAACTCTAGTAAATGCGAAGTGGCAATTTGCACTCGTAGGCTACATATTATATTTTTTCTACAGTTATAATAAAGCATAGAAATAATTTGTCTTTCAAACACCAAACACCACGTTTTAGGTTAGGTTAAATCCAAGCGTTGAATGATATGAGAAACACTGCAACAGCTGATCGTAGTGGTAGTATCTTTAAGTGTTGCCAACTTATTTTCAAGCGTACACGTATTACGTGCCTAATAAAAGCACGCTGTTTTGTGTTGTTTGGTTGGAGTACTGTAGTGAGGGAAAAGAAAGTAAATGCAGCAATTAGAAACTGTTTGTATTATAATCATTGCAAGGAAACCCACTTTGTTAGGTGACTAGTAGGAAAGGGATACCTATGTATGTAATGTCCACATCTTTACTTATGAAACTTGTTATAGATGTTGGATAGTTCTTAGAAAAACTGATAAGTTTAAAATGATGAAATAGTTAATTGTTTATTATAGGCTAACTAAAAACTAGGGATGGTCAAGTTTCGAAATTTCGGGAAATCTTCGGGAAATTTTAAATCTCGTTACACGAGACGAGATTTCTTTTTGGCTGAGATTTTTATCGAGACGAGAATAAAAAAAAAAAAAAATTAAAACGCCTGCAGGAAGTCAATAATGCAATACCCGCAATACAGGAGCGTGTTGTAGTTGCGTTTCCTTTGCGAAGGCGTTCTTATTTAATTAATTCTATAAATGTAAATATTACTTTAATTATTTTAATAATATTACTTTAATAACATTTGAGAAGTTTTGTTAAGTGTAAGCAGTGTGAGGAATGTTTTATTACTATACAAAGTCAAAACAAGTAACTATTTTATAAAAATTAATATTGCTTTTATTTTATGATTTATTTTATTTTAGGATAAGTTGAACTCTATCCTAACTGATATCACTATGTTTCCTAATCGTAGGCATTTTTAATAAGTTAGGCGTGATTAATAAAAAAAATGTTATTCTAATGTTAAAAGATTGTAAATATTCTTGCCTATTATCATTATTTTTGTATTTAAACAGTCATCTAACAATGTTACAAAATCAGGTAAAAATTTTGAACGTGCATTTCCCGTTGTGTATGAGAAGGGAAATCCCGTCTCGATCTCGTCTCGAAATTTTATGAGAAATAAAAAATCTCGTCTCGTCTCAAACTAAAAATTCAATCTCGTCCATCCCTACTAAAAACATTTGTTTTTTATTTATTGCTTTATTAAAAACCATGAAACGTGATCGCTCCGCTCAACTGGCTTTCACTGCTATGAAAGCAATCCTAGTAATGATTGCCTAGATGTATAAAAATTATTGCTTACTTTATATGGTTTTGTAACACTTACTTTCTTCATGCATTAACTTTTTTGGTGGTCTTCTTCTTTTCCTTAACTTGGGGAGGTATTGATGATCTTGCATTTCAATTCCCCTTTGTAACTGTTAAAACACAAGCAAGTGTTTTATATTAATGCAAAAACATTTTACATTATATAAAATATAGTTTTTGAAACTACCATACCATTGATTGTTTTGATTTTAAAATCAATGTTTGTGAATAATTATGATACAATTTACACAACTATTTTGAGGACACTGTTTTCCAGATAAAAAGATGCAATTGGAATTTTATTGCAGAAGGAACTCTACGGTTGCTATTTTATCTATTATTAGAACTAACATATTTAAAAATTGGCCTTTACAAAACCACTTTCTGTTGTTATCTTTCAACACAAAAGATTGCACATTTTTTTTGGAGGGAGGTGTGCAATGTAGAAATTTATTCTAAAACCTTAGAGATCTATCCTTATTCTACTAACGATGGCCAACAACTTAAGCTGCAAGTAGCTTAACTAGTACTTAAACTTAAGCTTAACTTAAGCTCATTTCCTACTTGACACATTAACATAAATTTTGCACCCAGTAAACAAGATGAAGCAACAAAACTCAATGTTTTATGTCTTTTCCTACCCAATACTAAACAGCTTAATATATACAATACTTATTGTAAAAACATGAGAAAATACCAACAGACTCAAAAATTTCCTGGAATTCTTCATCGGAGCTGTGTATCAATTTGGATGGTCTTGGGAATGAGTGAGCACCCATTTTTTCAGCATAGTACGGAGCATACCAAACACGAAGCTCTTCTCCTTTTTCAATATTTCGCAGACTACAGAAATAAATACTTCCTTTTACCTGCAAAAGTTTATTGACACTGTAAATATGATCTCAATCAGATTAATTTTGTGACAAACAAGAGATAGTGAAAGTTTTAGAATATTTTTTTTACATTTTACTCCTACTTACAAAAGTGACCCATTTCGGGGCAAAACATTTATTGTCCAGGTACAACGGATTTAGTACCATATCAAGATTTAACTCACAAAAAAACAGTTTAAGTATGAACAGCCGTTACCTTACATTTGGATTATCTCAGGGGTCGATTCTTGGCCATCGTCGAACGTTCAAGGGGGTGGCGAAATTTAGGGGTGTGCGATGCATCGAAAATGCATCGAAATTTCGATTCGATTCGATTCGATGCATCGAATCGCGATTCGATTCAGTGGTGGTCAAAAAACGATTCGATTCACGAGGGAGTCAGTATCCATATACGAAAAACGCCTGCAGAAAGTCAATGCAATACCCGCAATACAGGAGCGCGTTGCTGTTGCGTTTCCTTTACGAAGGCGTTCTTATTTAATACATTCTTTGCATTAAATATAGCTTTAATTGTTTTATATTTTTTTGTTTTGACATTGCAAATGATTAGAGGTTTTGTTTTTTGTCTTGATGTAAGCAGTGTGTGAAATATTTTACTACTGTGAACCTAGCCAAAACAAGGTAGGTTACTCCAAAATCATTTTAAAAATAAGTCTGAAAAATTGTTACTTAATACTTAACTAGTAAGATCAATGTTATAGACTGATACATTTGGTATTTTTGTTAGGTGTCTGTCGGTCCCCGTCCCCGAATTTTTGTTGGGGCAAAAGAAAAAAAAGAATAATTTATTTCCAAAGAAACACTCTTATATTATTATATCTATTACAGAGGAATTAAAATGTTCAAATGAGAATTAAAAATTAAGTTGGCTCACGACCTTTAAGAATAAAGACACATTAGAGCAATTGCCGCACTGCCACTAGCCAGAGCCAGGTCTAGTCGTCTACTGATAAGAGTAACAAGACAAAAGCCGTGACGCAACACTAACAGTGCAAAGAAAACAAAGTCAAAAGAATAGAAAGACTATTTATCCAGACATACTAGTATAATCATTTATTGTTCATTCAATACCTAATTAAAAATATATTTTAGTATTTTACATAATAAATTATAAACAAAAGAAATATCTGATATAGTGAACAGATCTCAGGGTGTCCACAAAAGATTTGTCATTAATTTCCATGACTTTCCATGACTATCCATGACCATTTACCATTGATTTCCATGACTCACGATCTTTACACGCAAATTATAATATAACATACACACACAAATAATACTGCCTGGACATGTTATTTTGCAGAAAATACTGAAATATGTAATAACAGATAACAATGGAGTACAATAGGTACAAAAATGAACTAAAACAAACCGAAAACTCATAAAATAATACAACTGTAATAAATTGGATTGTCGAACATTTGTGAAAAATCCTGAAAAATGCTACAACAGTCCGGGTTACGGCTGACTAGAGCATTGAATGGTCCCCTCAAATCCATCCATAATTGGAAATTTCCATGACTTTCCATGACTTCTTGCCTATTTCCCTGACTTTCAATGACCAAAATTTTTTTCCATGACTTTCCATGACTATCCCTGACTTTCCAGAATGTGGACACCCTGGATCTGTATCTTGGTTAAATAGGGTTAAAAAAATATATTTCTAAGATCCAATACAATATTTACAACTCACAAATTACATTGAATTAATTTCTTTTAAAATAATCTCTAACAGTTTTGTGTTTTTGAATAAAGAAATATATTTCTTTGTCTCTACTTCCTTGTTTCATCACTTGCATTTTGTCAGCAATTGAAGCAACTGGGTAGCAACCGGGTGGTGTAAGAGGGGAGGGGGAGGGTCTATGACCTTGAATTCACACATCGTTGCCCGTAGTGATGGGATAACCGAATGGTTTCCATGACCGAATAATCAATCAGTTATTTTTTGCGTCAATCGGTTATTTTTAGTTGAATGAATCACCGAATCAATTTTAGTCATTATTCACTATCACAATCCACAACTAATTTTTATCCTATGGGAAACTGAATGGCATTTAGTCTTTCAGCGTCAATCGGTGATTTTTAGTCGAACGAATCGCCGAATAAATTTTAGTTACCTGATAATGTGACAAACTAAATCAACTAAATAACTAAATCACCGAATCGCACGGTAAGACTAATTTAACCGAACCAGGATAAAATAACCGAATTAGTCTATTCAGCATCAATAACCGATTGATTCGGTTATTTTCATTCGGTGATTCCCACCACTAGTTGCCCGGGCCTGGCTGGTGAGACTGATTCATTGTTTTTGTTGACATACTACTACCCTTCCTTAAGAGAAAAAGGCCCTGCTGTTCCAAAAACATTGAGGGTAGTTTAAAAACATTGACCTGTGTTGCCAAGGGCACTAGAAGATAGCATTTAACTTTCTTGTCTCTTGATTTAATATTATTTTAATCTTCTATATATTATTTAAGAGTTACTTTTCGGGTACCTAATTAGTTGTGATATTGTTTAGCTTCATTTTATGGATTTTTAATTCTTTTCATTCATTAGCTATCAAAATCAGTTGTTTTAGGATTTTAATCTCTTGCAGTACCGGTAGGTCTATACTACTGTATGACATGATATGCATTTTTTAGTCCTTATTAATTATACCATAAACAATGTTTGTATGTTATTTACTGTTTTTGAGTTTTATAGGAAATTAGTTTACACAATATCTTTTCTTCAATGAGTTCTCCACTTGACATGTTGCTTCTAGCCTATTACTATTTTAGGCCCTATAAAAATAATGCCTATATAAAGCTGTAGGCCTACTGATGCCAATAATAATTCTTTATTTATGATGATGTAACAAATAATGTAAGTGTGAGGTTATTATACTAAGGAGGTTAGGAGGCAGGGAATGAATGATACATGTTGCATGGTGGAAACATATTATTTTTATTTTCTTCTTGCTTGCAGTCCTGAAGCCGGTCCACAGGCCCTAAACTTGTGATATGTAAATTTATTTCTTAATGGTCTTTTTATATTAAGTTCCATTCAAATTTGTTGTAATTTAGCTACCGGTACCTATTTAGTTATTTAAACAGTTATTAAAATGAGAATGAATGTCTTGATAAAAAAAAATATTTTCTTCTTTCTTGCAGTTGAGCCAATTCCAAGTAAAAATTATGAAATAGGCAAGTAAAGCAGCTCACTGGTATTTCCAGCAGTTATTCTAATACATATGATTGAAAATAAATATTTTTTCACCTAAAATTCATATGTAAGTATGAATAGGCCTAATACCACATCAACAAAAATTTGTATTACACAAATGTGATAAATTTTAATTATTGTTAATCCACTCAATTGACAATTATGAATAGAAAAATACCGTATTGCTTCGAATCGAGTTGCATCGAATCGAATCGAAAATCTTTTGAATCGAATCGTTGCTTCGAATCGAAAATTTTTTGCTGCTTCGCACACCCCTACGAAATATCAAACTATAGGTGGTATATGAGCGACGTGAAGCTGGCCCGCCCATTCCAGCACACTTTTTTTAAATGTACACAAAAAAGTGTGCTTTAAGTGTGCTCTTTATAACGGCTATTAAAAAAAACTGTGCTCTTATAATAATTATGATATAATCAATTGTATTTGGGCGTTATTAATTGGATAGTTAAAGTATTGAGTTTTTCCTTGCACGAAACAACAAGAAGGCTCTAGTGTTTTGACCTTGGTGAATCCGTCATTGGCCACTGCCGAAATGTAATGTCATTACGGCCCGTGTTGAATTATCGAAAAGTTATGCTATACAAAAATTATAATTACTACCGTAGTTCAAAGGCATTTTGTGGCAGCCACTTATTTTAAAACAGGGCTTCAAGTGCATACAAATAAATAGTTTAGGTCAGGATTGTCAAGAGTCAACTGTAATAGAAACATGTAACATGTTTAAGTTTAAATTACCTAACTTTTTAAAACTTTAATTTATAATTTTTTTAACCTACGCAACTAGTACAATTTATGAACAAGTTAGCTTTTAATAAAAGATCTATTCTCACCTGGAAACATATCATATTTTGCTCCTCAGCTGAGCTGGCAGGAAGCACAAGGCACATCCAATTGCAAAATATTTCTTCATAAGTTTCTAGATAAACGCTCTCTGATTCATTTAGAAATACCTGGAAACACGCCCACTGTTTAAAAATACCACCATCGATCTAACCGATGTACACACCTAAAACTAGAAAGTTACAACACTCATTCAAATTTTAAGGGTGTAGCATAGAGCACAAGGGCCTAGATTTTATAGGATTTTTTGAGAGGATAGCAGGCTTACCTGAATGGGAAAGAGTCCAAACTGGCACAGAAAACACAAAACAAAACTTTACACTATATACACAAAACATTAGTACAATGTTTTGTGTATATAGTGTAAAGTTTTGTTTTGTGTTTCCTGTGCCAGTTTGGACTCTTTGCCATTCAGGTAAGCCTGCTATCCTCTCATTCAAATTTTAAGATACACCACTTGATAGTTAAGGATACCCATACAGTTGTGAATAATTTCTGTGATATATGGATATATGTGATATATGATACAGGTGATATATGTGTGTGCGCATATCTCACACAAAACTGTGTGCCAGTTTGGACTCTTTCCCATTCAGGTAAGCCTGCTATCCTCTCATTCAAATTTTAAGATACACCACTTGATAGTTAAGGATACCCATACAGTTGTGAATAATTTCTGTGAATACTTTTTGGATTAAATCTCAAGATTGGTGAATAACAGCTTTGCCTATTTGCTCTGCTAACTTCTAATAGGGAAGATTTGTTCTGACCCAGACAACTGCGGCCGAAGTGAGCGAGATTATCTGCTCAATGGAATCCAAGAAGAACTATGGGTGATGGGATCCCAAACAGCAAACTTAGGTCTTGTGTGTGTGTGGAATTGCTGATGCTCTGACTGTGGTTAACAATAAATCTTTGAAACTGGATTTATAACTCCTAAAAGGTTAAAACATCCAGGGTTGTTCTTTCATTAAAAAAGAATGAACCACAGTTGAGAAAGCCTAATCAAAGGCCAATTACAGTCCAATTATGCTTTAGTAAAATCTTTGAAATTGAATGTTTGAAACATTTCTTACAGTTAATTAGAGATAAATAATATCAAACAATAGCCAGTTTGGTTTTCAGAAGAATATGTCTACATTTTGACTTTTCTAGCTCTCTAATCTCGTTTTTTTTTTTTTAAGGTGGTTAATAAACATGTAGCCTAAAGTAACCTAAATGATCTCTTTTTGTCCTTAAAGATTTTTTGTAGCTAGCAAAAATGTGTAAGTTAATAATTACAAAACTATAGTTTTTGTTGGTTTTTCTTTATTAAACTTGGAATTAAAAAAGTGTGTTTTAAGCTTGGAGCAAGATTGTTAGTTCCACTTATAGTCATTTTCTAGACAATAAGTCTACAATATTTTCTACTTTTAAAAATACCTACGTAAAATATTAGGACCTAAGTCTTTTTTCCAATAATAAATTCAAAGTAGGCTATAAAATTGTTTAAATTAATTAATCTTATGGCAATAAACGATTCTGGATCTGTGAATAAGATTTTTACAAAAATGGAGCAGCTTCTTTTTAGCTGAAGGCCCTGTAATTTACAGCTAAACTTATCTTTAAAACACTTTGACTTAGACAACACACTAACACTTAACACTTAAACACTTATCTTGTTACAAAATATTTACCTTAATTGGAAACTCAATTCTGACATCAATCAACGTAGAAGTCTTGGCAATGAATGGTCCAAACTTCAATCCTTTGGATATCGGTTTGGTGGTAATAACAGTTTTTGACCCATCAGACAATTCTCGTACTTCAAGTCCGTCTGGCAATGTGAGGCGAGCATATGAGAGGGTGGGAGTGTCGCATATGTGATCGGTGAATCCTTCTATCAGCGTACAGCTATCTACAATGTGACGTTCCCCGCATATCTCACATTGACCTGTAACCAATTTTAAACTTAAAAGTACTCCGGTTATTTTGCATCAAAAGCAAGTTAAGTGAACTTATTGCACTTCTTATGGTAACAAAATACATTTTTTTAACAACACATTAGGCCTAACTTAATATAGGCCTACTGTCTTGTAGCTTAGGACCTTCTGAGAAGGGAACTGCTTCCAATTAACAGATTGCTAACGAAAGATAAAATTGCACTTTGGTAGGCCTACTGATAAGAATGTTGATATTTAGAACAATCTCTTAAACCTAAGCCCTTAATAAAACACATGCCATAAGTTATAAAAAACATAACCCAACATAGATTAGTGACTAGGTAAGGTTATCACGGTACGTTTCCTCAAACAAAGTGTAATAAGGCTAACTCAAATACTGTAGGCTACATACATAACGGTACGGTAAGTTAATAAAATTCATTGTTGTAGCCCCGGAATTGTAATATATAAAATCCTATTTGGTTTTACAATAGGCCTACCTTTATCAGTTCCAAAAGATATAAGTTAAGTAAATTTCAACATTTTCAGCATAAAAAAAAAAATAAAAATAAGGAAACAGAAGTAAGATAGCTACAATACTGATACGTACAAGGTAAAAAAAAACTGGCTCTGTAGAAAGTTACCTCCACCTAGGTTTACAATTTTTCTAAAAGAAAACATTCCTAATTAACTACGGTAACCAATTTATTTAGCCTAGGCTACCTGTGATGAGCCTGTTCATGTTTAGGTTCGAGCGGTTCGGCCTCGCCTAAGGGAAGAGACGGGAAACCAAAAGGAAAAACAAAGAAAACTGTACGGAAAAATTCTGGGGTTACGACAATACCAAACAGGACATGGAAAGAAAACCGCCAAAAAATTTTCTGTAGGAACTGGGTAGGGAATTAGGCCTATAAGTGTACCAATGTTTTAAGTGGGTAATTATGTCGACCTCCAGTCAACGAGCTCTTTTTTTTTATCTGTTCGTTTTTTAGCGCTAATTCCGAAAAATGACCAACTTGAAAACCAGTAAGTTAGGGCCTAGTGAATTAAGCTAACTGAAAGGATTGGCGCTATTGGTTAGCTGTTAAAGTAGCCTAGTAGGCCTAGCAATTTATAATTTTTAAAGGCCTAGTAAAGCAACATTTTTTCTGACCTAGACTATCCTATTTTTGCAAGTACGAAGTAAAAGATTTACATTACATTTTCTTACGATCCTCCCTTTCCCTTGTCGGGGATTGACTTTGAAATGTTATTGTAGGGTAGGGTAACCCTCGTAGCCTACAAAAAAAGTATCAAGAGTAGCCTAAGTTAAGAATATTTAAGAGACCTACCACTTTCGATTGGGGCAAATAGGCCTAAAAATGCAGTATCTTCGCTTTCAATACCCATATTTATATATTATTAAGAAGACTCGGAACTGAAATAACTAAGAAGTTTGAAGATCATTTTGGCTGGTTTAGTATATCAACTTATAACCTCAAACACGGAAACTACGAACTAGAACTACATAACTTCTCAACTTCTGCTGCTAGCCTAATAAAAAAATGTGAATTTGTTTACTGCATATTTTTCTTCTTTTTTTGCCTGTTGGCTGAGGGCTGACTTGGTTTTATAACACAATGCCACAATGCACTGCAGTCAACTTCACACGTCATACAAAAATGTTTACTGCTGAAAACATTACAAAAATGTATAGGCTGTAACCAGGTACAATTTTAATTGTAATACAGAGTTGGGCAAAAGTGTGGACACCCCCTATTAACTTTTTAATGGGTGGAAAACCAAACTCAGCACACATCTACAATCTACATAGGATAAAAGTTCACTTCTTGGTTGGTATCCCAATATTCCCAATTTCGTCCGAAAACCCAAAATATTGTTATTTTGGGATGGGGGTAACACAAAATCTAAAATTTAAAGCCCATAAAGTGACACCTTTTTTTGTCCTAGGACGCTAGGCACGAGCCCGGAATTGTTTTTCACATTACTTCAGGCTAGTGTGGAAAGTGCTCGGTTGTTGCGAAAGTCACATTTGTCACAATTGTGAAAAATTGGCTCGAGACGAATCCTCTTTATAATTTTTAAGTTTTATGATGCTCTGGAGGCTGGCCAATGTTTTGGTTTTAGTTCGCAATATTTTCAACGTCCATAACTGCGTGGTTTGCCGCCAGTGGCGGTCCTAAGATTTCATTTCGGGGGAGGGACGACCACCGGGGGTATGTAATATCTCTCAGAAAAAAATGGGGTCCGGGGGTACCCCCCTCCCCGGAAAGTATGGAATTTAAAGCCTAAATAAGCATTTGAGCTCTAAAATATGACCAAGTTAATAGTATTTATGTTAGCTAATAAAATATCAAATATTTTGGGGGGGATATATCCCTCCCTTCCACCCCTGGGACCATCGCTGTTTGCTGTGTGAGAATAACCAATTTCAGCATGGTTTGCAACGGTTAACATTTTATTTTATTTATATTATTTCATTATATATATTTTTAGCATAGTTCTTTGACGTTACCTATTGTAATTATTACGATTGGTATAATAAGTATTTTGAACCATTATGGTTTTGTTGTGATCTTATTATAGCTCAGTGCTCATTGTGATCTAATAATCTATCGTCACGTCGTATGTCTATGGTGCAAATACACAACAAAACAAAACAAATATTTTTTTTCAAAGTGTTCTTCTTCATATTCCCGCCAAATCTTCTTTTTATTCGCATAATTACGATACGAACGATTACGATTTACTACAAGAAGAATAATAGGAATTGCCGTTTTTGTTTTAGGAAAAGGAAACAATCAAACTGGAAGATAGATTTAGATTGATTGATTTAGGACCAATCAGTTAAGAAGATTCCACTGCTAACAAGATTTTAGTGAGTGAGTCGGCTTCGGCTAACACATTTACATAATATTAAGTTACAAGTTACATTTTATTCAAGGGTGGTAGTAAAGTTAAGTAACTTTACTTGTACTTTACCATCACAGTACTGTGACCTGTTCTTACCTGTGCAACTTTAACTTACCGTTCAAAATCAGAAGGATCACTCGGAAAAAGGTAAGCCTATACCTACAAGTTGTATTAGCATACGGTACCTTATTCTAGTGTAATTAAGGCTTAAACAAAATGGATAAAACAAAACAAACTAAGTTCGGCCTACTGGTATCTTATATTCGTGTGCAAAACATTTACTAACTCTAGGAAGGCATCGCTTAGGGTATCAATAGGCCTATGTGAATTTGAAGCAACTTACATAAAAATTGCATACAGTAAGGTATCATCATACAGTGTGACGTTAAGGGTATCAATACGTAAATTTGACGTACTGCCGGCCGTTTTTTACTAGCCTATAAGTTACACTTAGCTGGCCATTTTACTAAGTTACACACAAAGGGTATTGACACGTAAGATTGACGTATTCGTTCCAAGAAACGGACTAGCAATGATACAACTACCAACACACTACGACCCTTAACCAAGGTAGCCTTCACAAGGCAAATATGACTGCATTAGAGTAACTTAGGCCTACTGCTGGAAGGAGGGGAATGAGTTTTTACCGGACATCAACCAGCTGGTTATATTTGGCAATGATATATATGAAATATAACCCCTTTAATAGAGGTTATAAGTAGTGATTGTTAGTCCTTTTGTCGGCTGGGAATTTATGAGGATTTGTACAGATTTTTTTATTGATATGTTATAGCCTTAGAGTAAGATGGTGTAACATATCGTAACTTACCTCACTTGTCCATATTGTATTTTCCGGACTCGTATGGTAATCCCGCACTCGACTTCATCTCGCACGGGAACGACCACACTTCTGGAAAACATCTATTTTCAGGACTTATAACGTAATATACAGGGTTTCCTGGAACTCTAAACAAATTTTAGAGCATTGTTCCTGAGTAAGAGACATAGGCCTATCTAAATACCATATTTAAATTGTCCGGAAGTTTTTAGTTACTCACATAGCCGCCATTTTTTCACTTATTAAGTTAATTGTTTTCTAAAGAACGGTTAAACATACGAAATTGAAACTTGCACAAACATTTATGACAACTTAACTTAGACAAAGCTAACATACCAAAAAAGTTAAGATAATTTTTCAAATTCATAAAACAAAATGGCGGTCATTTAAAATTTTGATTTTATTACTTTGTTTTACAAGAATAACTTTTTTAAGGCAATATCATTACAAATTGATTGACACCTTATTTGGACAAATATTAACTGAGATATGGCAGCTTTAGTGATGCGTGACCGCTTCCAGCATGCACTGCAACTAATCTCCAGCGGTCACATATTACTAAAGCTGCCATATCTCAGTTAATATTCGTCTAATCTTAAAAAACAAGGTGTCAATCGATTTGTTATTAAATTGCCTTAAAAAGTAATATTTGTAAAATATTGTTAAATATTTGTAAACGGTTTTTGAGTTCTAGGCTACGGTATTTAGGAAACACAATTTTTAATTGCCGCCATTTTGTTAAATGTATTTTTTAAATTGTGATAATTTTTTGGTAGGCTAGCTTTGTCTAGCTGTCATAAATGTTTGTGCAAAGTTTCAATTTCGTATGTTTAACCAATCTTTAGAAAAAAATTAATAAATGAAAAAACCAAATGGCCTGTGTAAGTAAATAGGGACTTCCAGACAATTTGAATATGGTATTTAGATATGTTTCTTACTCAGGAACAATGCTCTAAAATTTTGGTAGAGAGTTCCAGGACACCTTGTATACTATTAAACTGGTAAGTTCCTTTGAAATGTCAGTGAAAAACAATTAGGTAAGTTAGGCTAAATTAATACCGTACTTTAATAAAATGGCGACCATTTGAAGGTAGGTAAGCTATTATGAATGGAGAAGAGTATAGTGGTGCGACCTTGTAGTCTTGTTACCGACATGTTCCTTAGACAGAATTGTTACCGGTAAATAAGTTAGCCCATACAGCCAATGACAATTAAGGGACCTACAGTTTATAGTGGAGTCCGAACCACAATTTATGGAAGGTCAAGTTATAGATGTATTGGAAGTATATTTAGGCTCTAACTGTTACAGTAGACCCAAGGGCGCAGGTTTTAGGTCTTAAGTTTTTGGAAGCAAAAATTCCCCGCAAGAAAAGGGGGTGGGCCGCAATTATATCTTGAGCATATAGTGCGGCACATGCAAACCACGGGCCTGAGTATTCCTAGGTACAGTTCGGCCAAAACTTCTGTGCCCGTGGACGGGTTGCTACTAGCCGAACTAAAACATACGGGTACCGGTTATTGGCAGTGCTGGAGGTAGGGGCGAGTGGTTAGCAAGACAAAAATGTTTTCACAAAAGTACCCCCTTGCCTAGACCCAACCAGATCTGGTCGCGTGCACAGAAACTTTGGCCGAACTGTCCTTAAGGCTTATTTTGCAGTTCTAAGTTAAGTCTAAGTTAGCCTTCATGCCAAGTTTGTAAACTTGAATTTAAATTTCTGGACACTACATATGCTGTTTCTCAGGGCCGTCCCGAGGGTAATAGACACCCGGGGCGAGATTTAAATTTTCGCCCCCTCCCCTAACAAGGTATTTGGGGGGTTTGCGTCAATCGACCCAGCGTCCAATATATCGATATCAAACGTTTTGCAAGTATTTCTTTTATAAATATAACAACTACACTGAACTAAATTATTAAAAACATTGAATTTACGACTCACAACGGACATCACGAAAAGACTATAACATATGACTATGAGTAGAAAAGTATGTAAGAATTTGAGCTTTGAGGTTAGAAACAAGCAAGTGTAGGTGAGGCGTGTGGGCGAATACGCAGTATGTTTGTCTCAGACTCGCAGTATTGCCAACAAGTCACATGCCAGACGTAAAAGTAGTAATAGTACAAGTTGTAGGTTATATTAAATAACACGGTATTTATTTTATGAACAAAGCGAAAGGTATAGATTGCCTTTTTTTAGAATAGTCTTTGATTACATGTTTACGAGTTTTCTCTAAAATATTTGTTTGCCGTTTGCCGATAACGTTGTTAACTTTTAAACCTTCCAAAGCCACGGCGCCCCCAAGCCACGGCGCCCAGGGCGGTTGCCCCGCTCGCCCCGCCCTCGGGGCGGCCCTGCTGTTTCTGATGAAAAGCCTACATGGCATTTTTGAAATAGGTACATAATCAAGTGGCAAAAACACAAAAAATACTTGGTACTAAAAATTATAGGTTAAGCATTACTCCATTTAAATTAAAACGTTTGCAATACGCCTTCCTCTTTTCTGAGAGCAAGTTAAGTTGTAAGCTTTTTTAGTTTTTTCCTATGATTGGTTTTAAGCTAGTATTTTAAGTCTGATTGTAAGACCTATTTTTTCTTACTTTTTCATTTTGATTTCCCCAGCGGCCAAAAACACCATCTGTTCAAATTCATAGATATAAGTTTGAGTGTCCGTAAGCATGATAACTCGAGACAAAATCTACCGATTTTAATGACATTTCGTAGTGTAGTGCAAACCTACGGTTATTCAAACAGCTTCAGGAACCAGCATGATCAGTCTACAGAAACTGTGTTTTATGGGATGAAATTGTATTATTGGTGTAGCTTTGCAGTACCTACGTTTAATAACTTAGTTGGCTGACTGGGTAGCTGAGTATTGTCACAATGTTTGTGACTTTGTCAATTGCACACATGTGTTTAAAGACAATAAAAATCTTTGACTTTGACAGGTAGTACTCACCTGGGAATCAAAGCTTGCGGGATCGATCCCAAAAGAAATGAGTAACTTTTTGGTGGTTTGAAACACTTGGCTTCTGGTTCGGCTGTTCCTGATCATGGAACTTTAAATAAATGACCCTGGCTAATAAAACAGCTGATCCTGGTCACTAACAAATCCACACAGATCATTTTACTCCATTTTACTCTCAACCTTCACCCATATTTGAGTTAAAACATACACCTAGGTGGTGTCCCCACTTAAGTTTATAACTAGGCAAATTATTTAAAAAAATATATAGTTTTGGAGAAGATAAAAAAAAACTAAATTTAAAATCCCCATGTTAGGAGGATAAATAAACTTTAGTACTTAGTATGGATAACTTGTATAGGGATAAATTACATTTTACTCCTTAAAACCAAAATTGGAAAATTTATTTACTTCATATATATCAATATTTCAATACGGTAACATACTGTATTACCCTCCCTGTATAGCAGCAAACCTATAAACACCGTAATCATTAAATTTTATGTTATCAATACCGTAGTGAATAAATCCGACAATTTAAAGAAATATTTCCCAGCAAAAATATAAAATAAATTAAAATTTGGTATTTGGTAAGGTTTGCTGTGGCAAAGGTATTTTATTTGGTAACTTAGCTTAGGCCTATAGGTACTACCTATTCAAATACATTATTATGCACAATTTTTACATATCCTGTTTTCCCCTATTTTATACTAATAGTATATAAAATTCAAATAGCCTACGTACAGTTTAAATACTCCGTGTATAGGCTTATACAGTATTGTAAAAAGTAGCATGTTTCATTATAAAATTTCTTTTAAAAATCAAATTTTTAAATTATTTTAGGTGCCAGTGGTGTAGTCGTTAATTTTCCAGTTCAGTAACACTTCAAGTCTCGGAAGAAACACGGGTGCTCAACTTTTTAGCAGGCTACCCGCTACAGTATAGGATTTTTGGATCAGCTGAGTGTGAAAGCCATTAGCGCTATACCACACCACTGTTAGGTGGGCTTCCTCCAATCAGGTGTGTAGTCAGGGAGTGATATCGGGATTAATCACTCCCACCTCCCAAAAAGTAATATGTAAGCTGAATATACACAGAAAATTATAAATTACACGGTTTGTACCTAAAAATAAGCACAAAACAGTGTTTTAACCCAAATAGGTGCAAGACAACCAGATCCTCATATTTGGGATCCCCTGAGGTCAAACCCCTACTGAAAATCATTTTTGGCTACTTCACTGTAAGATATAACATACAAGTTTGAATTTCAGATGTCCTTGGTTCCCCATATTGCTAAAGAGCTGCTGAAGGAACTGTACTGTGAGAGTCTTGGTTCTCTGCCACACACAAACTACATCCGACCCTGGCGACTTACCCAAGCTGAAGATAGTGGCGTGTCCAGTCTAGTCAAGGATCAAGATGGCATCAAGGTTGGTTCTGTTAATTTTACATGACAAATAACTTTGGCCTAGTGAAAAGAAATTACAAGGGTCTCGTTTTTTTAGTAGGCCTAAGGGCCGTTTGTGTGTAAGTTTGCAGCTTCTGAGTTCGCTTGTACGCTGCAATGAGGTTACTCACCGCTTACTGGCATCATTTGTGAACAGAACGATGCCATTTGCAGCTTTGTAACTACATATAGCTGCGAGTCTAAAAAAGTTGTTAAATTATTGAATCTTCCATTGCATGCAAGATATTTTTTTGACTGCGAGAAACATATCAACTGCAGACATTCATCACCAAATGACTGAAGTTTATGTCCCTAATGTAATGAGTGAGGGTCAAGTGCAGAGATGGGCTCATGATTAACGAATTGGGGGGAAATGTCCATTCCGGAAGGAATATTGTTTTTGGTGGGTACTCAGACTTCACAGGAGGACCAAAAAGTAAAAAGGTTTTCCTGGCCAATTTTATATTCCCGAATCCATTCTGCACTTTACCCTCACTCATTAGCGCATTAGGGCCATAAGTTTCAGTCATCTGGCAATGAATGTCGGCATGGGATACGTTTCTTATGGTAAAAAAACCTATCTCAGACACTGCACACTGCTTCAGACAGCATTGAAAACCTATTCCAATATTGATATAGCCTAATCCAATTTGAGTTCTTTAAAGTTCAATAGACTCATCACTTTAGTATTTTTTTAACCCTCCAAGTGTCTCTAGTTTTGGTCTTAATGTTCGCCCATTTATTGTGCAATCGCAGGGTTTTATTAAAATGTATCTTAGAAACTTAAAAACAATGTAAAGTATACTGTTTTATATATCATTTTGTTTGGAAAATTATGGGCTTCAATGTAACATATAAAACATAACAAAAGAAAAAATGTTCAACAATTTTTGTGGGGTTAACATTTCTCAAAAACTATAAAATAAATGAAAAAAATTTATGTTTGCGTTCAATAAATGGTTATAATTTATAAGTCTACAAATATTTTAAACAATTAAACGTAATAAAACACATCAGTCATCGGTGCGAGGTTAACCAAGCTGTTTACAGCTGCAGCAGTGTTCTGTGATCTGTCCAAGGCGTTCGATTGTGTGAGCCATGATGTATTAAGTAATAAACTGAAATATTATAACTTCTCTGATCTGGCACTGTCTTGGATACAACCTTATTTAAAAAAACAGGCAACAGAGAACTGTCATTAAGAAAAATGGTAAACATTTCATTTCAAAATGGCAAACCATCAATTGTGGTGTACCCCAAGGATCAATTTTAGGTCCCTTGTTATTTTTAATATTCATAAATGATGTTCCTAACAATGTATCATCAAACCTAATATTATATGCTGATGACACTACAGCTATAGTAAAAGCAAATGATGTACATACTCTTAGATTAGAGCTTGATCGTTCCATTGTAGACTTAACCCTTTGAGTGCCAACGTCCGGGGAACCGGACGTTTTTAAAACGAGCCAAAAGTGCCGACGTCCGGCCGACCGGACGTTTTTAGAACGAGCCAAAAGTGCCAACGTCCGGCTGACCGGACGTTTCGTAATGATCGAACAGTTGTCATAACAACCGAATGGATACTCGGATTCTTTTAACCCATATATTAACATTGAGTCGAAAGTTACTAGATGCGATACATCGATTTTCGTTGGTCGAAATATCGAAAATTCGATTTTTACAAAATTTTAACCTAAAAATCGCCAGATCGCGCTCGGCATTTTTAGCGCGACCTTCGGGAAAAATCATCGGCATTTTTTGAGCGTTACTTTTATTTCTCGCCTGGCACTCTAAGGGTTAACTAGCTGGTTTGCGGCGAATGGTTTAAAACTTAATAATTCTAAAACACATATTATGCAATTCCAAACACTACAAAATAAGCAAAACATAATTTTTGAATTACCATATGAAAATGATATTATAGCTTTTGTCGAACAAACAAAATTTTTAGGCTTAAATATTGATAAAAATTTGACTTGGAAACATCACATTGAAATATTAGCTAAAAAATTACATACAGCTTGTTTCCAGATGTATGTTTTAAGAAACATAATAGATTCTAAAACAAAGGTCATAGTTTATTACGCCATATTTTTTTCCATTATGCAATATGGTATTGAGTTATGGGGCTCAACATCATATGCCTCAACTATTTTTAAGATACAAAAGAAGTTTTTAAGAATCTTATCATTTACACGCAAAAAAAGTCATGTAAACCGCTTTTTGAAACATATGGAATGTTAACAATGTCTTCACTTTACATTTATAAAATTCTGGTACACTTCAATGCACAATTATTTATAGACAATCAATTTATTCATCAATACCAAACACGTTCAAAAAATAATTTGCAGTATCCAAGACATCGGCTATGCCTTCTATGAAAGATCGCCGTACTACATGAGTCTGAGGCTTTACAACGGTCTACCTGCTCATTTTAAAAATATCAATAGCATTGTAAAGTTTAAGAAAGAATTAAAAACATTCCTTATAAAAAAGAAATATTATACAATAGAAGAGTATTTAAATGACTGTTTTTAAAAAGTGACTAGTTTAATTTTAATCCTTAGTTTTAATTTTTATTTTTGTTAGCTAAGAAATGACAATGTCATCTGTTTCACCAGCTTTGCTGGAAATGTAAAATGTTTTATGACAATAAAGTGATATTATTATTATTATTACAAATACGCACGTCAGCTGTCTGCTACAATTATGATCGGCTCGAGAAAAAAAAGCGCTTAGAGACAGACCTCGGGAGAAAGCTTAGAATCTGCCAAAAAAAAACTACCTAACTCGATCCAGTTCAATCCGATTTAGTCAGTCATAGAGCCTTCGCCGTAAACAGTGTTTGTGACTGTGAGTCGCAAAAGCGACACAAAACACTACACAAAGTGTGTTATGAGTCGCTTTTACGACACATAACACTCGAAGGGTTAAACATTTTTTCACAACATACCATTTTACATTAAGCAATACTTAATTAATTTAAAAAGAAGTCAGAAACTTAATATTTCTTTTTATAAATCCGAGAATATTTTTAATAGGGCTAATACAAATGCCAAATCCTTCTCTTATACCATTAATGGAAAATCCTACTGGTAATTAAAAAATACAAAATATCTTTCCTTGAGGAGTGGTCATTCCCCAAATAACAAGACCTTACTGAAAATGTATCATATGTTATGTGGGAAAGTAATATCAGGTGATAAGCTGTAATGAAAATGATACTCTCTCTTTGTCCTATCCAATGCCATACAAATCATCCATGATTATAAGTTTTAATTTATATAGTAAAAATATGCTCTTTCATTATGAAACGCCCAGTATAATTCTACATATTTAGAATTGAAATAAAGTACTACTATACAGTTTATTAAATGATTCATGTTTCAGATCTCTCTCGACGTACAACAGTTTAAGCCGGAAGAGCTAAGTGTAAGAGTTGTCGGTGATTTCATTGTAGTAGAAGGGAATCACGAGGAACGTGTTGACGAACACGGATTGGTTTCTAGACAATTTACTCGCCGCTACCACTTGCCTGACAATGTTGATATTGATGCTATCAAATCAACAATGTCCTCGGACAACGTTTTGCAGTTGACAATTCCGAAGAAAGTTCTTGACAAGAAAAACATAGTCAACATCCCTATCTCTAAAATAAACCCTCCACCATCCCCATTTACCAGCCCAAAACCACCTGCTGAGAAGAGAATGAAGATTGAAGAAGGAGCTTAAGACTGAAGATTGAAGGAGGTGACCAAGTTAAGACTGATGATTGAAGTAGGTGCTTAAGTTAAGATACAAATAAAGACTGTATTAGGAGCTTATAAGTTAAGAATGAATATTGAAGTAGGTTAAGATATATTTTTGGATACTTTTTGTTAAAGTTTGTCATCACCATTCTCATTCCTCCTCAATTGAAACTCATTGAACTGCATTATTCCTACTTAAACACTTATAGCCTTCACATTAGCTAATTGGTGAAAATGAGTAACTTTAATACCTAAACTAAATCTTACTTTACTGAGTTCCATAACAGGCTAATAATTCTATCTTTTGCTATAATATACTGCTAACTTCAACAGTTCAAGTTACTGCCTCCAATACCCTCAAACTTTTGATTCTAAATTGTTGTTATTGGTTTTAACTTGCCAATCTATAAGTTTCAGATAGAAGTGTGGTTGTAAATTAACAGAAAAGATCCAAAAAGTTTTGTTTACATATGAATGATAATTGGATTGATGTGGTTTTGTTGTTGAAATGTAGTTGTATTTTTTCTTTAGTCAACATTCCTGTTTATCATGTATAGTTCCTTAAAAGACTGATTCATCTCATTTGTAGTGTATTTTTGTAAATCGTAAGGTTAAAAGCTTAGGCTATTTCAAAGTATTTGAGCTTGAAAAAATCTTAAGCTTTGGTATTATTCTATAGCTTTAGTTGTACAAAGTAATTTAAAGTAACTGTAAGTGTTAGGTATTTTTAACTGTTTTTATGTACAATCATCTGATTTTTGTTATTTACCGTTTAATCTTTTGTGCTCCACTCTCTCCTTACCGCAAAATAGCGTAATACTTTGATATCAATTTTGTGACAAGGTTTTGTAGAAAGAAACAATTTCTTATAAATATTCATGCTATAGATTTCAAAATTATCATAGTACGCTCATTCAGTGGTTAAATCTTTCTGACAGAAATCCCATCTCAATTCATTGCTCAGGTAACAGGCCCAGGCCTCTACAGTTTAAATGTGAAATGTGACGTGCTATGGGCCCGAGAGACAATTGCACCCCCTTCCCCCTACTGTGCAGGAATTTTTCTCTTCCATTTGCGCCCCTTGACCTAGGCCCTTTTATTAAAGCGGCCATGAGAAGGCAAAACTAGTACTTCCGATGTTATAGATTCTTATTCTTCTGCTATAGATATCTCCATGATGTGGCAAACTAGAGTAGTCAGTGTCAATGGACTGGTGGACTAATTAGTAATTACATGTAGTTCTTGTGGAAACTCCAAGGATTATTTATCTATTGCTAAGGACTCTGTTGGGACTTGCCATAGCAAAGTTATTTTTAGTTCTTGCATGCTGTGTTTGCTGCAATTTATTCATTTTTTTCTTAAACCATTCTAAATTTATTGTTATTGTTGCTGTTTTGTGTGATAGTAAAGCTATTGCAATGTCATAAGTTCAAGGTGGTTTTACTGTGATAGATACCACTTTTACAAACCAATCCATTAATACTTTTAAACTTTAAATTTGTAGACTTAAATGCTGTTGTGTATTTTACCAGGCCATAAAAGCATTTGTTTGTGCCTGGTTTTGGGTTGAGTAAGGTTGTCTTATTGCCCAACCAATTAATTGTGCGTTGGTTGTTGGTTTAGCTTAACAATTATAGGTCAATATTTTACAATAGTTACACCTTTTTTCAATACTTTTTACATTAAGATTTTTAAGTAAGATATGGATTTGATGGCCAATATACAGTTTCAAAATTTATGTTAAAAAAGTGAGAATAGAATTAAGGTAAGTTGTTGTGTTTTGGTTGTAAGCATGTTTATTTAAATAAAACATTTTTCTTAATATTTACCAACTATTTTTCCCTGTGAATCTTCCATCCAACAACATAGTTGACTTGACAATGTTGACATCTTGTAGAATCAGTGAAGATATGGTATGTTACAAGAGCTGAGAGACAGTATGGTGCAGAAGTCGTATAAATTTTCATGATCAAATTTAACCATGATTCATCTATCTAGCTATGGAAAGCAAAATTAAAGCAGTTTTATTCCACTCTTTTAACAATGGAACAGAACTTTATTTCACGATAATAGTATACATAGTCTTATAGAGACTAAAATAATAGTCTTAAAGCTACGGCCACTTCTGTATAAGAGCCAAAAAGACACTATAATTTTGAATGTATGCACAATAAAGAAATTTGTATCTGTAAATTTGATATAAACAATTTCAGAAAAAAACATACAAAAGGTTTTAAACTGTGATGGATTGAACAATAGTACATTTCACCATGTACCAAGAGTGACATTTTCCTGTGCTTAAGCTCCACGTGTGAGGCAATGCCAAACACAGGAACACCAAATTCCTCGTGCAAAACAAAACCGAGCATATGAGATTATGTTTCACGGGTATAAGGCGAAGCGTAAGACAGGAATAACTGGAGCAACTGCCGAAAACTCACGTTCAGGACAAGTATTAGCTTACTCTGTATTATACTGTGTGTGTGAAACAGTTATTTAAAGTCCATAACTATTATAAATAATTAAAAAAATACCATTGAGACTTTTTGTATGAATAATTAGCAATAGGGATTGGTATCAGTTATACTAAGAAAGTTTTAATTTGGTAAAATATATATTTCAAAGGAGAAACAGAAAAACCCAAATTGTATATCTTACGCTAAAATAATTTGTCAATACAAACTGTTAAAAGGTAATAAAATAATATAACTCTACCCATATTATAAGTAATGAAATTCATTAGGTATGAAGAAATGTCATGTCTGTTACGTATATAAAAGAGATATAAAAATATATATCTTATCTTATTAATATTATAAACATACAGAGTACCTGTCGTTTGTACGGGGTTGGCGTATAAGTACAAAATGCTTATTGCAGTCATGCTCTTGCTTTGCGCTTGCAATGGGAGAGGACACGTACATTATAAGAAAATTTGGTTTACGTTCATTTACTGCATACTGCATACTATAGTACTATCTACCATAGCCATAATGCTCTACAACTGCACCTAAACAATAGAAAAAAGTAAAGTTCTCACAGCTTTTTGTTGCTGATTGGTTCAAATTAGCTGTTGTTATAAATTCAAAATGATTAATAACAATGATAGTGCTTCACCATGTTGGTAAACCTTATAACCAACTTGTGTACTTGAAACAGCTGGAAAAATTCTTTAATTCCTTTTAAATATGAATACTCATAAGGTTAACATGAAAAATTCTAGAGCCACTGGGCCGAAGCAAGGCCCCACTAGAAAAAACAGGCCATGCTGCAGCGCGGGTAGCGCAACACTACGTCACAGTGGTGGATAGTTGTACTAAACTCTTACCATTAAAATCTTACAAACAGCCAGCTTGTTTATTTACCTAAAACATATGGGAATGGTGATGGCAATGAATTTATCAATGAAATCCATCCACTAGTGTGACGTCATGGATCCTGCAGCATGGCCTGTTTTTTCTAGTGGGGCCTTGGCCGAAGCCCGAATGGATGTTTTAGATAAGAATATGTCATACGTCTATATGTTATTTGGGAATGTGAGCTATCAATCATCATACCAAATTTAAACTCAATCCGACCAATAGTTAATGCGTGATTGAACAAACAAACACACAATAATATTAGTATGATGTGAAAGTTTGTTTGTTTGAAGTTCAATCACGCATTAACTTCTGGACAGATTGGGCTGAAATTTGGCATGATGATAGCTGATAGCTCACATTCCCGATTAACATATAGGCATATTCTTATCTCAAAAATCCTTTCGGGCTCCGCCCCAGTGGCTCTGTAGTTCCCCATGTTAACCTAATGAGTATTCAAAGGGAATTAAAGAATACAGTCAGCTGTTTTAACTAAAAAAGTTGGTTCGATGGTATGCAAAAGCATTAAAAAGTTATAAGATTTACCAACAGGGTTCAGCACTATTATTTTTTTTCATTTATGAAAACAGCTAATTTGAACTAGGCAGCAACAAAAAAACTGTGATACACAATGAGAACTGTCAAAGATTGTTTAGAGTTATGTTTATGTTTTTAATTTCATGAATAATTTGTGATATTTTTAATTTTTTGTTCTCTATTATTTAGGTAAAGTGGTAGAACATTATGGCTATAGTAGATGTGTAATACAAATCCTCAGTATACAGTAAATTAAGAAAGGAAATTTGATCAACAGTCCCCCATTGAAAACGCAAAGCTTGAGTATAACTGTAATAAGCATTTTATACTTATATGCCAACCATTTTATACTTATACATTTTATTATGTTGTCTATTGTCTAACCCTGTACGAAGGACGGGTATTCTGCTAGTATATATATATATATATATATATACAGTAGCGAATACATACACTAGTGGTCACTTGAGAATTACATAATTGCAGTTGCACATTTATCCATACTTAATCTGGTCCGTATAGTGTTACGAATATACGGATGAATAGTTTGGTTGCAATTGCAACAATTTGGACAGTAAATATTTACAAGCTTTGTAGTTGCTTTTGAGCAAGATGACCTTCTTCTTGAAGATGATCTTTCAAAAACATTGGATCAATGGTACAGTTACACAGTACACAATGGACAGAACCATCTGTGAGATTGATTGTGCAAAAATCTTTATCATCTTGAAACCTTTGTGGGAGCGACTGAAACAAGTGTTCGACCAACAAGTGGTAGGATTCTCGAGCACCGTCGCTGTTAAGTTTCAAGTCTCTGCAAGCTTCTTCCCCAGTGTTTAGAGCGCTGAGCTGTTTAATTTGACATTGAGTTTTGTTCTTGTGAAACTTTCCTGAGAGATGAATTTTCACAAAGCGAGTCGATGGTTGGACTGAACAGTTGCAAATCACACATACCAGTTTGCCATTTTCATTCTCAGCCATGCAAGTGATGTTTCCGTATTGATTTTTCAGGGGTAGGAGTATTTCTTTAATATTGAGTTTACTTGTTCCTTTGGTCATATTTTCCTTCGGTTGGGCCATGGGACTTGAGTGATGAGGCTTCAGTGGGGTCTCGTCAGAAGACATCAAGTTAGCCAATCCAGTATCAGAACTGTTATTCAAAGGGAACTTGTTATTTTTGGTCGAAGGAAGTTTATTGGTCGACAGAGGGCTCTTAAGAAATTTGTCTGATTTTAACTTCTCGTAGCTTTTACAATGTTCTAACAACTGTTCGATGTTGGCTGGCACCAAAGAGTTACATTGTGTGCAGTTAATACTGCCATTCAAAACAGAGAAACAGTGCACTCCATTCCTGTCGCCATTCATATCTTTGAAAAGCCTCAAAACACGAATTGCTTTGGAGTTCTCACTGTGCAACTTGCTATTAATATGTGTAAGGAAGTTTTGCTCTAGCTCAAAATTATTTTTGTTGAAATGAATTATTTTCTCACACAATTTACAACTGAAACGTGGCTCAATTTCAGCCTCAATGAATTCTTTATGTTGATTGATCAAGGAGTTTTTCTCTGTTATTAATTCTAAAATTCCTAAACTACTATTGTTGTCTTTTGGATTCTTGAGGGATTTTGCTTGGGAGTGTTTTACATCATTATTGTGAGAAATGACGTTCAGTAGTGTCTCTTGAGGATTTTGTGAGTTCATCTCTATTTTGCATCTACAAAGGTTGCAACATAAGTTAGAGCCGTAAAATGATACATACTCCATAGTACTCTGCATGTGATTAGATAGTTTACCTTTCAGCCAGATGATTACATTATCTTCATGTCTTTTAGTTTTTAAGTGATACTCAACCATCTGCTCTGTATTCAACGTTTCACCACAGACATGGCAAACAAAACTACTGCTGTTTACAGTTATATAACCTCTGTGATTTTCCAAATCTTGTGACAAATCAAACGATTTATAAGGTTGGTCTGTCAATGTCAAAGTTTTTAAATTTGAAATACTGTCTCTGTCTCTATTCTTCACCTCAGTGAAATGTTCAGTTTGTTTTTTTACAGATAAATTGTTTGCAGAATCCAATTCATGAATTTGTTGATGACAAATTTCAAAATGCTCCATGAAGCAATGGTTAATATTGTTTTGGAAAATTTCAACTAAATTTTCACAAACCGGGCAAATTATATAGTTGGTACATTCTTTTAGCTCTCCATAGACTTTATCCTCGTTAAAAACTATTTTTTGTTTCTTCAATATAAACAATGCTTTTAATGTTGGATGTATGTTCAAATAATGTAAGTCCAAAGAAGCTTGAATGTCATTAAAACAATCTTTTTCAATGAAGGTCTTGCAAACAGGACAAAGGAGGTCCCAGTTGTTTACTCCTCCACAAGCCATTCTGAATGAGATCCTGGACTTGAGTTGTTTCAATCTTCTTCGCAGATCTCTGTAAAATAATTTTTATGGTGAGTAATTTTTAATGTACAAAAACATTTACACTAGATGCTAATGACTTTAACTCTAGCCTGAGGAGAACTCTTAAAGACTGCTATGGAGTACAATTGGTCTCTCCTCTCCTCTCCCCGTCCCCATTTTTTTAAGGGCTGACTGGGTTATAGCCCATAGGGCAACCAGGATAATTGAGGATGCCAACATTTTTCCAGCACTGTGTCGCTTACCGCCGAATCACAGCCTAAATCAGAGTCAGGTTGATGACTAATTATACACTACTATTATCGTTGTGACAGTTTCCCATGCAATGATAGAGGGTTAAGGGCAGAAATTGGTTAGGGAGTTTAAAATGGCTGTGAAACTGTCCATTTGAGATGGAATTGTGTTTTTGGTGGGTACCCAGACTTATCACAGAAGACCACAAAGTAAAAAGGTTTTTCTGGAACTTTAATACCCCCTTACCCATTACCACACTTA